TTTTTTTGGTACAGGGTCTTGCTGTGCAGCTTGGACTCATAGTGATCCTCCTGTCTCAGCCTCCCCAGCACTGGGATTACAGGCGTGTGCCACTGTTCCTAATTTCAGTGGCTAGCACAGCGCATCCAGGGTTCCAGGGGCAGCACAGCATGTGGTACAGGGATCAAACCCAGGTCCTTGTGCTTGCTTAGACCACCAAGCTATCTCCCCAGCCCATAAATCCCTGTTTAAAAGCATGCATATTTATTACTTGGTAACTCATATTTGGGACGCTATCTCAGCCTTTTGTTTTCCCTGTAAAATAAAGTTTCATAAAACCAAGTTTCCTTCCCTTCTCAAAGATCCCTTTGATCTCAGCATCTTTCCCTTAAAATAAGCAAACACTGGACACAACATTGTTAAACCTTCTGATGAACAGGAAGGTTTTTGGAGGCTCTTTCAGCCTCCAAAATAGTTAATCTCAGTATCAAGGACTTGTGGTTTCGTGTTTCTCCTAGGCTGTTTTTTATTTGGTTGGTTAGAGTTCTTTTCTCTTTGTGCTTATTTTTACTAACCAATCTTTTCTTCTCTTAGCTTACATTTTGTGTTTGGTTTAGTTGAATGTCATTCTGCTCCCTAATTCTGTTTCCTTATAAGTCTGGATCATTTAAGATTTCATTCCTGCTGTTAACTTAGTCTTGTGTGTGATGGTCATGTGTTCTAACCATATTTTATGTATGTTCCTGTTTAACATGTCTTCCATGACATCATGGCTGACTCAATTACTTTGAACCCTGCTGGCAACCTACCTGCCTCCGCTCATGTGCATGCCATGTTCTCTCAGTGAGGCACGTCACAGCCTTTCCACACTTGGGTACAGCGGACCTCTGTCTAGCACCGTGCTGAGAGACCGGGGATGAGAGCATACCCAGGCGCAGTCCACGCAGCACTGTGGAGACCGTGCCAAGGCTGCTTGTGCCCAGGCGGGAGCTGAGTGTCCCACCCCAGCTAAGCATGCAGTGCTGGGCAGCAGGGTCTGCACATGCCCAGGGAGGTGCAGGGAGTGGTGCTTGGGGCTGTGTATACATTTGAGCAAGGTGATACACCCACAGACTTGGAGTGTGGCTATGACATGGAGCGGAGGACACGGAATATGTGCTGCCTGGTGCCTTTGGTGGGTAGCAGATATTTGTTAGAAAAAAATAAGTATTCACCAGAGGGTTACTACATAATTCAGCTAAATAGTAAACTAAATTTTAATTCTTAAAAACTAGTACAATTTTAAAGGTTTTTAAAAATTTCCTATATCTTTAATAATGACAAAAACAGATCAGTATAAAATACTTTTGTTTAAGTGGAAATTTTATTGTTTTCCCTAGGGGCCAGGGAGTTAGCTCAGCAGGCCTAAGAACCTACCTGGCAAGCGCAGAGTCCAAGTTCGATCCCCAGTACCATGCAAAAAAAAAAAAAAAATGACTTTTTTTAGCCTGAAGAATTCAGCTAATGAAATTGTTTTAACTGTTTTCATTTTGTGCAGGGGGAGAGCCCAGGAAGCAGTCATAGGTAAGAATAAAAGAATTCTATGTGAACTGAGCTTTCTGAGAGTTCAGATTTTATGATATTTGTTTTTCAACTTTATTCTCCTTCCTTTCTTATAACATTCTAAAGCTTGTTCTACTAATCAAGCTTTTTGTCAGCTAAAACCCTGGTACTATAAGTAGCTTTGTGATATGCAATTAAAATTGCACACATTACGTGTAGAAGACACATCAGTCTTTAAGTCAAAAGAGAGACTATTTTCATGTACTGTTTCATGTCTGAATTAAGTTCCTTAGGGTTTCAGCGGAGCAAATGCTTCTCAAGCAGCTGTCATGTGCCAGGCATTGTGCCAGACCCTGGGACTTAAACATCAGACATGCTTAAATGTTTATTCATTAGAAGATGTCTTGGAAATAGAACTCATTGTGAGGTGGTCAAATAGATTAAGAAGCATTTATAGAACCCTCTAAGAAACCCTAGAAGAGAAAGCCTGTTGCCCAGAGTGTACAGGGAGAGATGTGTCCGAGGTGACACCTTCCTCAGCAGATGCCACCTGTGTTGAGTGGGAGGGCTGTCAGAGGTGAGCATTCTGACAAAGACTACGCAGGCAGAAAATGGAGAGCGGGAAGGTGAGCGCACTGGGGGTATTGTGACATGTGAAGATGCCAGCATAAGGCTGCAGAGAATAGCTCAGCAGTCTTAAGCGCCTGCTTAGGCAAAGACAAAGACCTGGGTTCAATCCCCAGTACTGTATGCCATGCTGGCCCCACCCTAGGTGGCCTGAGCCAGCCACCAGGACTGGGCATTGTAGCACATGCCTGTAATCCCAGTGCTGGGGAGGCTGAAACAGGAGGATGACTACAAGTCTGGGGTGCATTGTGAGACCCTGTACCAAATACATAAATTTTTTTAAAAAAAGATGCCAACATAACATAGGATGTGGAAGGGATGGGCCTTATGCTGGCCCGAGGGCCACAGTGCTGGGTATTCTCTGGCATTTGCAGCAGGAAGTTCATCATGGGAATGGTCCAGGGGCAGTGTGAGTGTCGGAATGAGCATGGTGCGCTGACAGGTGCTGGACAGTGTGTGCCTGTGACAAGCCTGTGTTCCATGAGGCCAGGAGAGTGACCAGCTCGGTAGCCCTGAGATCAGAGCACCTGAAGCTTCTCTCAGGTGGGAACCCTTTGGGTTCTGATCCAGAGGTCAGGTGGCAGGAGTGCAGCCTGCAGAAATGGAAGTGGAATTGAATTTCTTAAAACATGGCTATAGAACAAAACAAAGCAAAATACGAAACACCTCTGAGACAGTACTGTGTTTTTTAACAAGTTGAATTACAATGGAAAGCTGAATTAAAATGTATACTTAATACAATTACAGTATCAAATCATAATAACAAAGTTTTGACAGTGAATTTGAGAATTTCACTGGCTTTAGTGTTTTTTCTTCTTTTTATTTTCCCTGCCTCCTTCTTTCTTTTTTTAAATCTCTAGGCCTCTTACTGAGGAAGAAATCGTTGACCTACGAGAGAGACATTATGATTCTATTGCTGAAAAGCAGAAAGATCTTGATAAGAAAATCCAGAAAGAGGTAAAAAATCTTTTATGTAGCTTAAATATGTGTTATCATAAAGCCTATTTGTTATACGTGAGAGTTGTCACTAAATAGGGTACTTTACATAGTTATTCAGCCTGTATTTAGATATCTACAAACAAAAATAATTTAAAAGTAAAACTTATTCCAACCTATTATAATTTTTTAGTTTGGCTTAACTTATCAAACATTTTATATGCAAAAAATTAAAATCATACATTGTTTTAAAAATAATTTGTTAATTCATAATTATGGGATACTGGCAAGAATGTCTACCTTTGTGTTTAAAATCAACTTTTAAAATAAATAGTTTCATAATAAATGGTATATATGTACTTGAACTTTTTATCTGTCTTGGATTTATTTGTTTTAGTAGATCAAGTACTTGTAACAATCATAAATGTAATACTTAATGTATTTATGGTAACTCCCTGCAACTATAGTTTTTTTTCTCTTGCTAAACTATGGAATTAGACATATGCACCACTTATTTTAAAAGTTATTTTAGAACCATTTGGTAATTTCAGATATACAAACTTAAAGCCACACAGTAAATACTAAAATTATTCTAAAATAAATTTTATTCTAAAATTTGATTTTTAAGTTAAATTTGACATGCAGTAACTGTCACTAAAGTAGCATGTTATAAATAACAAGAACGTGAATTTGAACAATTGTTTAATAGTTGCTTAGTAATAAAATTGAGACATGTGCATATCAGGTGAGGAGGCACGGGCTATGGAAAAGCTTAGCGCACCTGGGTGAATGGTGACGATTGGCCTTAGTTTTAAAGATCCTTGAGGAGGGCCAACACCGTTAATCTGATCAGCATAGTATAGTAGGTAGTGGAGTGGTTGTTGAAATGAAGATCATTGCAAATTCTAAAGAAAGAAACAATGTTTTTGTAAATTGAGAGAACTCATTTCTCTTAGCATCTTCATCATCTAGGTCATTTTATAAAAGAGCAATTGGAACATACACAGAAACATCAATTCTGATGTACTTTGTAGCAATCAATTATTTTTTAATGATTTATTTTTTTATTTTAATAGTAGAGACATTTTCTATTTAGAGCAGCTAGACAGGTTCTGGTTTTTGTTAATCCTTATCGTTTTGTTCATACACAGTTAGCCTTACAAGAAGAGAAGTTAAGACTAGAAGAAGAAGCTTTATACGCTGCACAGCGTGAAGCAGCCAGGGCAGCAAAGCAGCGAAAGCTCGCGGAGGTGAGGGGAAAAGACCCCCAGCACACACCAGGGCTGCTTTTCTCCTTATTTTCTTGGACAGATCCTATTGGGGACTTTTTCCCTACAGTCAAGGGCTTCTTGCTTAACAGTGTCTGTATTTATGCATTTATTTTTAGGTATTTTAAAAACAAATTAATCAACTTTTAGCCACTAGAAATAACATAAATCACATGCTCCATACAAAATGCCATTTAGCCTTAAAACAAGATAATACCTATTTATCATAAAGGTAAATTTTAGTGCTCTAAAATAGAGTATTCTTTTGGAAAAAATACACTTTTAGAGGAAAAATGTTTCAAAACTAGCCTTGAAATATACTTTCCAAATTATTATTATACTGTAATTTTGAGTGTTTTTTAAAGCAATTCCTTTACTTGCTTGAGTTTCTTACACTGTACTTCTTAGAACTGGGTGAGCTTACACATTTGCCCCAGAGGGATGTTTTTACTTCTCATCTTTACTCCTCCTGTGTCTTGAGAGATTAAGAGTTGGGGTCTTGAGAAATTCTGGACGTGTCATCAAGGAAGGAAGCAGGTTCACCCTATCTTACCACTCCATGTGGGAAGGTGGCATTGTCACAGCCCCTGACATCTGTGAATAACAGACCTTGCAGAGCCCTGGGGGCTGCTCTGTGAAGTGTAGCTGCATTTAACACCCCCCAGCAGTCTCAGGAGAACGCAGAGGTTTTATCTTCATGTTACAGATAAGGGACCTCAGGTGGCTGTCTCAAGACCTTGCAGCTAACACACAGCAGAGCCAGAGCTCAGGCAGTGCTTAACCCATCTGCCATGTAGTGCTGTCCTGGCATTTCGCCTGTATGGATTCATGACAACACTATTAATAGGACCAGTGCAGAGGTCATGGGAGACCCTGAGACTGAGAGGAGCTGAACAGTCAGTCATGTCTGTTGTGTCATGTGATCTCCATGTGACCTGAGTCCTTTCTCCCCTTGTGTGTGTGTATGTGCGCCTACCTGTGTATGCGGTGGCAGGGCATACAGCACTTAAATTATATAGAGACATCTTATTTTTAGTAGGTTCTAAATAGCAGAAAAGTTTAAAAATTAACTTCTGCCTTCTGTAAAACAACTGTGGTTTCATGAAAGGTTTTTAATTATAACAGAGGCACTATTTCTACCATAATAAATTCTCTACTGCTCCCTTAGAGACTGAAGTATTTCCTATGCAGCATCCGTTTGAACAGTTTCCTGAGTTCTCACTTTCTGACTAAACATTTGCTTTAGGAACATATAATCTATACAGTATATGCACTTACACGCACACATGCACCACCACAGTTCATTTGCTTTTCCATCTGGAAAGTGAATTTGCAGCCACCCGTGAGTTCTGGAAGAGGAGACAGAGGTAAACTCTGTACCTGGGAAACGGTCAAGCTTTGTTGCTGAAGGGAACCCTCATTCTTGGAGGCCTAAGAAACCAACTGCCATTGCCATCTTTTCTGACTCAGTCCTTTGGTTGGTTCCCGACTGTTTCACACTGAGTAGAATTTAGACACTTTTGCCTATTCCTTTCCTACCCTCCTCCTTCAAGTCATTAAAAGTGCGTGGGTATGCTAAGAATGTTGGGGACACCCATTCCTATCTGTTTGAAAGTTAACCTTTAAAACCACGTCAATCTCCTAAACACTTTTGACCTAAGATAGTGATAAATTAAGAAAAATTCTGACTACAAATAAGAGGATGTCAGAGTGAATAGAGATAAGTTGAAAGCTTTCAACAGAATAACTCTTTGTTTTTAGAAACTAGGAAAAAAAAACTTTTCAACATTGCATGCGTGGTTTTAAAAAATAGAATTTTGCAACAGAGTGACTTTTATTGTATTATGTTTCCAAAGCAAGAAAGACAGAGAGGTGTGCAGCACTACCATCCCTCCAGCAGCAGTGACCATCAAAGGTAAATACGAACAACACAGTTCCTCTTCCGTGTGGTAAAAACTGTTATTTCCAAAAGGATGCCCATTCACTCAGGATATTTAAAACTATTCATGTTTATTTGATCTCTAAAAGTCACTTCTTTCCCATGGCCCCATGTGGAGGTGTGCTTAAGCACAAGGCCCTGGGCTCAATGAAATTGAGAGGTGACCATTTATTTAAATAACAGTGTATCTCAGTCACATCTTACACGTGAAGTGACACAGCCAAATGGGTAAAGTACGTGTAACTTTAGCTTTTGGTGTCCTCCTCAGCTCTCTTTTCTTAGGACAAAGTTAATGTGTGATTGTTTATTGGCTGAGACATTCCAGTGTCACATTTCCACAGTCAGCCAACTCTAAGAACCAAGCTAAGCTTTAGAATTTTGTCTTCAGAATTAACCAAAGTCTGAGTACTTTGAGTTTCAAGTGGATGTTAAGAACATAAGAGCTTTTTGTTAGATTATCCTGATTGTGCAGCCCTTGTGAATCAGTGTGGTAGGCCTTCAGAACAAGTCACACTTCAGCGTTCATTGTGTTTCACTTAACTAGGATTATATTTGTAAAATTCATTTTTATTACAGTTCAGGACCAGAAGATGACTTTGAATCTTGTATGAGAAATATAAAGTCACAGTATGAAGTTTTTCGAAGTAGTAGTAAGTCTTTTACAATATTCTCTTATGTTTTCATCTTACTTTATGTCCATTAAAGAGATAACTGGAGGTTTTTTTCTGTAGAACTTTCTGCCCCTCAGTTTTTATTGCCCAGAGAAGTCAATTAAGTAGCTATAAATTATGTAGTAATCATCTTTCCTTTTTAAAAAAAGTTGGAATTGTTGAATACTTATCATCTTTGTTTGCTTTAGGCTTTTTTAATTGTATATCATTTCTAATGTCATCTGTTATTTTTTATTCTCTTTAAAATTTAAAAAAAAAAAATGCCCAAATAAAAGGAGTTGGGGCAAGGATTTCCTCAGACAGCTTTACAGATTCACAGTAGGGAGCCAAGTACTCCTTGTCCTTTTCTATTTGGATCACAGCAAGGGAGGTGGGAGGAAGGAGTACAAAAGTGTGCTTATTTCACTTACTACAAAGTCATTTGTGAGACCGAAATATTTTTTCAAGTTTTCAAAATCCCCAAGTCCTACCTCCTGTGCTGCTGGGAAGCAAAACATAGGGATGGTTCATCTTGAAAGTACTGGCATTTTTCATGTGTTTCATCCTTGTTAGGGTTTGTTTTTTGTCTCTCTTCATAGTTGGATTCATCATATTTGAAAAGCTTATAATTCATTTAAATTTACATGTTAATTCTTAGATGGGCCTAAAAAAGGCCTTTATACTATTCTGCCCAGAAGCTTACCAACATAATTATTACTGGTAATTGTTTATTTTGAAATCAGAAAGCATGGTGATTGGAGATATAGTTACAGCAAAAAGAAAATAAGTTTGTGGTGAGACTGTAGCAGTAACAACATTTAATTGTGTTTGGGGTGTGTTCCAGGACTCTCCTCAGATGCCACAGTGTTAACACCAAATACAGAAAGCAGCTGTGACTTAATGACCAAAACGAAATCCACCAGTGGAAATGATGACAACACGTCCTTAGACCTGGAGTGGGAAGATGAAGAAGGTATTTTCTTGACCTGAAAATTTGTATGGATTTGTATAAATCTTTATTTAAACTGAAATGAATGAAAAATAAATGTAAAAATTTTTCTACACTGTAAATTATGGTAGTAATTATCATGTGTTGATAAATTGACTTTTACTATATCTTGAGAGTTAGAAAATAAATGTTAAGGTTTTTTATAATCCTCATTTTATTACTCAACATGAGGGATTACTGCCCCCTTGTGGGCAGCCTGAAGCCAAAGTAAGTTATCTTTGGTCTCATCTTAAATTATCAACTTTATGGTTATTTTGATAGAACAGATGCCCTTATTCATATGTGAGCTTGAAGGTTAGCCAGTATGTCTTCTTAGCTATAGATTATCTAGTTCTCTAAACCATATTTTGTTCATTGGAAAAAGAGAATAAATTTACCTTAAAGAATAATTTTCTACTGTTAAGTATACTTAGTATCTAAACTTGCTTCGTATACAGTCAGCTTAAAAAGATTTGTCTGAATAAATGAATGAATATTATTATGAGGATTAGGCAAGCTAGTAAGGGTGAGGCACTGTTCAGTACTTGAAATTGTGGCTTTTTTTGTTTTGTGTTTTATAGAATGGGGCCCAAATTTTCATTTTCATGATATGAAGTAGGAAACTGAACAAGGAAGACTCAATTACAGAGTATAAAACTTTGAAAAAATAATAACCATTAACTATTTCATGGACTTCTGAGATGGAATGGGTCTTGAATGTACTGCTCATTTGTTTATCAGGAAAGAAACACATTAGGGATACATAGATAGCTTTATCAGAGAAATTCACTTTTTTCATTCTCAGTTAAACACCATTTCTTCAGTCCTACCTTATTACATAGTTGGATTCTAGTCATCAGATTTAAGATTATTATAAATTTTTATTTTACCTCCAGTTGACTTATGTTCAGAATTAGTTGTACAACAGTTTCCTGTAGAAACAACTATATTCTTGTGCTACAGTTAGAACACAGTCAGACTTCAGAACAAAACTAAATGAATTAAAATTCTTTCCCCAGGGCTGAATGCAGCTCAGCAACAGAGCACTTCCCAAGCATACACAAGGCCTTGAGTTCAATACCCAACACCACCAAGAAAGAAGAGAAGAGAAATTCTTATCCAATTGTCATATAGCCATGTGACTTTGTACAAATAACTGACCTTTCTGCCCCGATTCCTCAAGTCTAAAATGGGATTAATGGAACTACTGTGGAGTAATTGAGGATTAAATCAGCTAATATATTTGAAGTGCATAAATATTGATAGGAACCCAATAAGTTCTGGAAAAGCATATGTTGTTACCATCACCAAGGTGATTGTAATTCTCGGGGAACTGCAATTATCACCTGGGCAGGAAAGGACTTTGGCAGTCAGACTGATTTGGCCATAGAAGCTCAATTGCATTTGAAAACCTCCATCCATTCTATTTGATTCATGGCTCTTTAGAAATTTAATCTTACCATGTGTTCAGTGTTGCATCAAAATACCCATTTGTGACTGGGTGTGGTGGCATGCACCTGTAATCCCAGCGCTTGGGAGGCTGAAAACAGGAGGATCACTATGAGTCCGATCTGTGTAGTGAGACCCTGTACTAAATACATAAAAAAGTAATAATAATAATAACCCTGGGTGAATGTTTATCTTTAATGCCTCAGCCTCTGATGACTCCAACGGGCTGGAGTTGGAGAACGATTTTGTTAGTGCTGAGATGGATGACAACGGCAATTCTGAGTATTCAGGATTCGTAAATCCTGTATTAGAACTGTCTGATTCTGGCATCAAGCAGTCTGACACAGATCAGCAGATTCAATAGTTTAAAAGCTTGCTCCAATAAAGGCTATTTAGGACTATAGGGCAAATCAGGTTGATAGTAAAAAAACAGTAGCAACAACTGTATTTTAATCTGAGGAAGCTTTTAATATATTGCTTTATCTTCACTAAGACATTTTGAACTCTGTTCAAATTATAGGAATGAATAGGATGCTTCCTATGAGAGAGCGTTCCAAGACAGAGGAGGACATCCTCCGGGCAGCACTTAAGCACAGCAGCAGGAAGACTGGAAGTAACCCCGCTTCGGCCTCTGATGACTCCAACGGGCTGGAGTGGGAGAACGATTTTGTTAGTGCTGAGATGGATGACAACGGCAATTCTGAGTATTCTGGATTCGTGAATCCTGTATTAGAATTGTCTGATTCTGGCATCAAGCAGTCTGACACAGATCAGCAGATTCGATAGTGTAAAATTGTTTGATCCTGTTCATCAGTTTTGAGCAAATGTTTAAAAAAAACAACAAGAATGTAGCTGTGGCTTACTGAACCTTTTTGTAAGGGGCAGTGAGGAGCCACACTGTAAATGCTTACTTGATTAGGAAGATGTAAGAGTGGTCGGATAGACGTGAATTGCTTCAGAATTAAGTGCAATTTTATCATCAGCCTTCTGCATTTTAAGACCAATTTAATGATTCTGTCATGTTATTAATTAAATTTCTATTAACTCTTACGGCATTCCTGTTCACTTGTAGGTTTCACATTTTAAAAATCTGCATTAATTTTACTTTGAATGCTTTTCCACACCTATTTCTGTATCTCTGGTGAAAATATTGCAGTATTTTCCATGAATTCTCAGCAGATGTGAAGGGGGCATGAGGAGGGGTTGTCAGGCTCAGACTTAGAGCAGTTCCCTTTTCCAGCAGTGTTTATTCTAGGGCCACTCCGAAGTCCTTTATCCAACAGGAAGCACAACTGATTGGCGTTCCTGGCCTGAAGTGCTGCAGGATCAATTTCTATTCTTCTACATTTACTTTATGATGATGTTGATTCCGTCTAAACAAAATATAAAAACAAGCTTTCAGACTGTAGACATTTTAGGTTGATAAATAATAACTTAAAATAGTATTTAAGGAAATATGTTTATGATCTATACTTATACATGCAACTATATTGCTTTTAAATTTATATATTAAGTTTTTAGGTTATTACTTTTATACTCATTTCCAGTGTGTGAACTTAGAAAGATTTTACACAAAACATTTTTCTCTGATTTAAGAAGGGAAACGTAAAAAAGGTAATACGGGTATTTAAAGTAAATAAAATCCTTTCTGGTGTGAAAGGCCCTGGTTTATTATACTTTTCTTTGCCTTGTAGTACAAGGTGCTTTGATGCAATGGAAATAAGTGTATAACTATGTTTAACTGCATTTTGTGACAGACAGTTCAGCCCTCTTTGGCCTAAAGTTTATGCATCAATATAAAAGCTGGGATGTAAAGCCCCCGACCTGCTTTCCTGGATTTTGCTGAGGACTGAGTATGATTTTAATAAGCAAACTTTTTTCTCTTTTTCCTTAGTACTGCTTTTCTGTTCCTTCTTTTACAACAGTGACAGTGCATGTTCTCAAAAGTACAGGAAGGTCCAGAAGTAAACAGTAATGTGACGTTCCTGCTGTATAAAAAAAATCATACGGCCCTTTCAATATTTGAACTGCTAGGCGATGACATCTATAGTTTTATGTTGTCCTTTTTTTAATTTCATAGAAATAAATATGACACTTTAATATGTAAATATAGTAATTAGCTGATGCTGTTATTTATATGTCTTAAGTTATAGCTGTGTCACTGAAAATGTTTAAAGGTACTTTCTTCACATTGCCTGGGTTAATGCTTTCTAAGGTTTATATATATCAGATGTATATTTTTGGTTGGCATAAGCTACTACTGTAATTTTTTTGTTCATAAAGAATTTTCTGATGGAATGGTAACTTCTCAAGGATTGTGAATAAATACATTTTTACATTTAAAAATGTTAATTCATTATTACTGGTTTTAAAGTACAGATATTATAGCTCCAAAGTTACTTTATTAAATCTGGTGTGAAAACAAGTAAATTAGAAAAAATGAAACTAAACTTAAAAATATGTTGCAAATACTAAGATATACAATTAAGTTTTTGCTTTATGTTTATAAAAACACTAGAAGTATTTCTTCAGCAAACCTTAGAGTTAGATACTAGAAACAGCAATAAAAAATACCACAGAAGCTCCCTGCTCTTACTCAGCATTCTGCTCAGAAAGACATACAATAATGAATCATGGGTCAGTTAGAACATGCATGAGATGGTAGAACAGCACCTCCTCTCCCAGAGGTGCTAGAGCTGAATTTCAGCTGCTGGCCTGGTGACCCAGAGACTCTGGTGCTCAGAGTCTCTGAGGCAGGAAGGTCGGTTACTATGGGACAGTACAAGGGCTCCAGGTGCTGCACATCAGGAGTGTGTGGGGTGTGGCGAGGGTGGAGGGTAGTGGCCCTGCCTTTGCCAGGGTACACAAAGCCCCTGTACCCTGGCAAAGGCAGCTGACATTCTGTTACTTAGGGTACTTGGTCATCTGATCAGAATTGCTTCTTTAGCAGTGACTCATGGTTTGGGCTTTTACAGGGGGAACAGTATTAATACAGGACACATTTTACAAGATTATAATAGGTACCTAAAGAATCATACACAAAAGGGGAATGCAGGAAATCTATCCATACACTAAAGACAAAGAATCCAGCTGAGGGCCTGGATCCCACAATAAGGTCCTGTATTAGTCCAGCTGAAGACGTAGAGCCTATAACAGTGCCTCCCTTGAGTCCAACTGAAGGCGTAGAGCCCATGACAACAATGTCTCATGCAGCCTGTTTCATGGATCTGCGCTGCAAAGGCTCAAATTTCAGTGAAGCTAGAAAGTCAATGCCAGCTGAATGAAGGATCTGTGCAAGCAGGCTGAGAGATCTACAATGGAATCAGGAAGCAATGCTCAAGGTAAGAACAAGAGCTCCCCTGAAAACTACCACAGCCATCCTCAACAATAGGTCCCAAGCTCATCGCTCCAACAATAATGGCTGAGCGCCTATCAGGAAAGTCAATGTGACAAGCTTCTTCAGGAGACTGAGCAGTGCACCATCTTCTCTGGAGCCAGGAAGCAAGCTCAAAGTGAAGACTAGAGCTCCCCTAAAGTGAACCATAGGGATGGCCAGATAACACAGCAGATTAAAGCACCTGCTTAGGCAAGCACAGTGGCCGGGGTTAGATCCCAGGCATGCCCTGACGGCCCTGCCCCTGGGACACACTGAGAGGGCGATTGAAACTGGGCATGGTGGCACACACCTGTAATCCCAGCACTTGGGAGGCTGAAAACAGAATCACTGTGAATCCAATCTGTGGTAGACCCTGTAGACCCTGTACTAAAAATACAAATAAAGTGAACCATAGCCATTCTCAGCAACAACAAGGTCCTGAACCCCTCTGAGAATAGCCAAGTTCATCAGGAAAGCCAGCCTGGCAAGGTCCTCCAGAAGAATAGCCCAAGAGAACCAGCAGCTCCCTAACAGCTCCCCAATAGTTTCTCCAGCTTCCCTAACAGCCTCTCAACACCTCTATTTCTGCCTCTTATGCTGCTGGCAACAATCCTCAAGTGGGCCTCCCACACCCAGCATCACTCTAGTTCAGCTGGGTGTAACAAGTTGCCCACAGTTGGCAATCCACAGTGACCCACTACTACATAGCAAATGGGTCTGCAAAGGGCAAGAGTCAATGTTTAGCACTCCCTGTGTGGCCTGGGGCTGTGAGGGCTGTAGAAATTGAGAACAGATTTAGAGGGAGACTCAATAGGGTCTTCTGATGAATCCAGTGACAGAGTAACTGATTCCACACCACCATTACTCACTGCACCTAGTCCACAGAAGCAGGAAACCCTGTGGTCTCCCTGGAGTGTTTTGATCCTGGCCAGCTCAAAGGAGCCACCAAGGGCCATTTATCATCAACCTCCCTTTGTTGTGAAAGTCATGCATCCATGGGGCAGTTCCTCATGTAACCAGTGAGGCGTGGAACCAGACCTCACCCTGGTTCAGGTTCAGATACAGGCTGTACAGCCACTTGGCTGTAGTTTACAGTTGGCTCAGCAAGTACCCTACACTACACTGTCTTTATACAGTCTGTCATCTTCCCCCATTCAGTCTCATTTCAGTGACCTCTCTGAGGACCAGGGCTGCTGCCTCCATGCGGCCATTGCTCTGCTGTCTGTGTAAGCAGTAAACTGTCTAAATGTGAGGCACTCATCTCCCTCCTGGTCAGCTGTGGAATTTTTTTTTTCAACAAATAATACACTGCATATATTCTTCTTAGTGGTTAATTGCTGTACAAGATGCGGACTTGTGATCCTATTTACAAACACCATTAGAACAAATCATTCTATTCATTAAGAGAATGTAACTATATATCTATCCCAACCTCTTTGAATACACAGATACAAAATGGACATTCATCTGTATACCCCATTTTTTCTAAGTTCCGTTATTGAATATTATAGGTGTGTAAACTCAACAAAATATTCTAAAAGAGTCCAGTAGCCCATAATAGCATTGGGTCTTCTGTTTAACTGGCAATGTCAGAAATTATTGACCTGAGTCCCCCACAGCTCAACTTAACAGCATGGCTTTATTTCTTATAATTTCGTCTTCATACTTTTCTGCTGGATGGTTAAGACCAAGGTAAAGCAGGACCTATGCAACAAGAGTTGTAGCTTTTTGGTCTGACAAGGTCAGTGAAATGCCCTCAGGATTTGTCCTGAGATCCTGTACCTCAGATTGTAAAACCTTTATCAGTGCGGCCATGTGGATGAGTCACGGCCAATGCTTGGCCAATGTGCTCTCTGTGAAAGCCTGAGAGAGTATCTTCTCCCCATGTGACTCTCCTTAGGCCCACTCTATGTCATCGATCACTTTCCTCTTTGGCCCCATGATCTTCTTGATCAGAAAATTTGGGACACTACCGAGGTACATGACGTTACAGTACAAGTTCTCATATGTCCTGAGTCTTAATTGAGCTTAGAAGGCTAGGGCCAACAGCTGTGGAATTTTAACAGCTAGGGCAGCTGTTTCATATATGCCCAACAACAGCTTCCTTTTGCACTGACTGTACTGGGAGAGACAAGTTTGAGACGCTGAGATGAAGAGTCCCACTTGAAAAGTGAAATGTGAAGAGCTTAGGAGGTATTGAAATAAGATGTCAAGTGAACACTGGGGAGCGTGTCTGCAGCTCAAAAAAAAAGGTCTAGGTACAAGTGTGGGAGTCAGTGTAGGTTAGCAGTATTTTAGGTTATTACACTAGCTGAGTTCACCCCTAGGAAGTAAGCAGGTAGACAAGGCTACTTCTCTATTGCTAACTCTTGGAGACTATGAGTAGACATAGTCTGAAAAAGAGAAATAGGGGAACCCAGAGAATGTGGGAGGTCACAGATGCAAGGAAAATCAGGAGTCACCAAACCTCTGTGAAGAGGGTTGGTTGAATTAGGAACATGGCCATTTTCTCATCGCTAAGACCCAGGACCTAACGCTCCCTGGTGGAGGGAAAGCTGCTCAAGTCACTGCACCACTGCAGTGAGGATGCAGAGAGAAAGAGTGGGATGGGGATACACACGCTGGTCATGGCCCCAGTGACCGCCAACCGGGCCTGCCCCCAGCGGTGCATGCAGCCTCAGGAACATTACAGAGGAATCCCAGGAGCACAGCACTGCCTTGATGCGGTCACTGGCCAAGGCCTCACCTCCATGCCTGCAAGTTTTGGGGACATCTAGATCGAAACCACAGCAGAAGGATGCAGCCCCAAGAGTGAGTGGATAGGCAGACATGGCAGACATTTTACAGAAATGTGTTGGTGGGGATGTGAAATTATGTGTGGATTTTTTTTTCTTAAGAAATAGAAATTTTGCCCCCGGGGGCATGCTGAGACAGGGATTGAGACTGGGTGTGATGCTGCACACCTATAATCCCAGCGCTTGAGAGGCTAAAAACAGGAAGATCACTACAATTCCAATCTGTGCAGTGAGACCCTGTAGGCCCTGTACTAATCCATAAAAAAAAAAAAACAAGAAATAATCTTTAGATACTTTTTTTTTTCAAATCTTTAGTGTTTTTTTTTAAATATTTATTTATTTATTTTGTGTGTGTGTGGCCAGCTCAGCCCACCAGGGGGCGGAGCTGGCTGGCATGTGGTGCTGGGGGATTGAACCGGGGTCCCTGTGCTTTTGCTTAGTTTAGCTTGTTCTAAGTAGGTACTTTAGACCACTGAGCCATCTCACCAGCCCCTAGATACTTCTAAATAATATTTATGCTGCTTTTTTTCAGTAATTGGACAGATATATTATTCTGGTAGAAGACAGTTTCCATTTTAGTTTACAGAAATGTACCCTAATTACAATTTCTCAACAGATATCCGAAAAAGAATTTTATGTTGAATCTAATGTTTCTTCTATCCTCTTTTACTTGGTTTCTTGTGTTATCTGACTCTAGAAAGTACAAAGGAATGTTTGAGAAACCCAAAATTCCTACATCTGATTTATGTATCCATAGGAAATATTAAAGTTGAAAATGAAATTAGAAAATTAAAACTATGAATATTTTTAGTATTACAAATTAGGTTTTTTTTCTGTAACACACACATAATGTCCTCTGTAGGCAGAGTTCAGGAATTGTTTATGAGGGGTGGGGAAGATAGCTGAGTGGCTTAAGTGCCTGCCTGGCAAGCACAAGGTCCTGACTTCAATCCCCAGTACGGGCGTGGGGAATTGGGCTGGGGAGATAGCTTAATGGCTTAAGTGCCTGCCTGGCAAAAGTGGGGTCCTGAATGAGATCCCCAGTATGAAAGAAAAATAGAAAGGAAGTTAGCTGTTTACCAGACGGGTACATCTGAGTCTAACTGCTCAGTGCTCTGGTAACCTGGAGGAGGGGGGTGCCTAGAATAACTGTTTTTCACAAAAGGAATCTCAGTGTTAGATTACACAGGAAGTAGAAGATAAACCCAAGCTGAGGATTCAGGGCCCACACTCAATATACTATACTTCTTTATCTAGGTAGAACTTGGGTCAATATTGTTTCTGAGGTTTTTTTTTGTGTTTTTTTTTTTTTTGTTTTTGTTTTTGTTTTTGTTTTATTTGGATGGGTGTGTTGTCATTTGAGGGTTTTTGGTTTGGGTTGAGGTTTTTTGTTTTGTTTTGTTTTCTTTCTTAAGTGTTCAGAAACTGTTTTGAGATACCCAAAGTAGTATGTATTGTCACCAAAAGGCCCTTTAGCCTAGAAGCAGTTCCACTACTGTACTTTACTGTGACTACCTAACCTCAGAAGTTTCCTGTTTTGTAAGGATTTGGTCTTTTGACCAACAATTTTCAAGCAACAATTTCACTGACACTGGCCAGCAGTGCCAAGCTGGATTCTCTCTGGTCTCTTCACAGCCTTCTGTCAGCAGCACTGTGAAGAAACCACAACAGACTGAAGCCACCTTTCCCATTCTCTTCACCAGAGCTCCTGGCCCTGAGTCCACTGCTTACGAGCTGCAAAGCAAATAAATGTTCTCATGGCGCTGGAGCAATAGGGTGAGTGAGTGGACTCAGGGTTAACTCAGCTGGACTAGACACACAGCAGCGTCCAAGTACGCTTCACTGCTGTCATCCTTAGTCACCACCCAGAATGGAAACTGAGGGTTGCAGTCATGACAATGACCCACATAATGAAATAGTGGCCACACCTGCTATTTTAACAGATGACAGTTAATGCAAAGGAATAAACAAGCACGGAACTGAAGCAGAAAAGGGGTCATGAGAACAGAGAAGCCACCACTTACAATGCCAACAGCTACCTCCTCACAGTATGATTATGATGAATTTTTTTTGTAAGATATGCTTATTACTATACACACATGTATATTAAATATATTACATTAAAAGTAAAGCTTTCGCAAACACATGCCCCACTCCATCTCTCTTAAAACACATATCACAGAAGAACCATTCTCATGGACAAAGGAGTCCCCTGGGTATACTACGAAATCTTCACAACTTAGCTTCAGTGATGGCTGACAAACAGCAGGATTTCTGTTGGCCACCCTGCTGTGGACGATCCCTGTGATAACACTTTTCCTGTCTACACAGTCACTGACCAGAGCCACTCTTACAAGATGTGATCATGCTGCCCATGGAGAGTCAACTGACAGACCTGGGCTGAGCCTGCCCTGAAGCTAGAGTGGGAGACCCCCTCTCTGACTAATGGACAACATGAAAATCCACATGTGGAATGGGGCCAGAGGTCCTGAGGGGCAACTGGAGGTGTGTGAATCCTGCCCCAAATCTGCACTTCTTCCTGTGTCCTAATATGCCTCAGCTGCTCTCTAGCCACAGCCCTCTGTGCTGGGGGAGCTCTGGCAGAGGTCTGATTTGTGAAAAGTCCTAACATTAACATCCTGCTGCATTAGTCTGCAGGCTGATGTTTCTGTTCTGTGGAGAATCTGATGCTACTATTCAGCAACTCTCTCCTTATTTCTCAAGTTCAAAATCTTCCCCAGAAAACATGACAGAAATTACTATTTCAGGTGAACATGGTCTTACCTATCACACTGTGTGGGTTTTGTAACAATCATACAGGAATTCCTTAATATTAAAACTCTGCAATTTAATCAGTTATCCATGAAAATTCTTCCAAAATGTGATATTAGTTCCACAATAAAATATTCTTCATTCACAGGCAGCCTTTACCAAGAAACTCCATGGTAAGCAGTCCTCACCAGCTAAGTAGTCTGGTTTGTTAAGTCCTCATCAATGAAAGTACAACATTAGAAAAAGAGAATTCAGCAGGCAACTGGTTGACAGTGGCAAGAAATGACAGACCTCGGACCAGAGGGAAGCTATCAGTTTTCTACTTAATTAACAAACTACTGCAAGTCAGTGGCACAAAACATCTTAAAATTCCACAGGCAAGAAGGAACCCAGGTGTCCCTGACTAAAGTCAAGGTAGGTCTCACTTCCACTGTTGGGGCCTTGGTCTCCAGCATGCAGGTGTCCCAACACATTCCAGCCTCCAGAGCTGCCCACGTTCCTCGGCTCCTGGACTCCCTCTTATCTTCAGAGTCTTTGTCGTGCTTCACACCAATGTCTTCTTTAGCTTTCTTCCCACTTTAATTCCACCTCCTCCCACTTTTCAGGCCCATGTAATTACCTGGGTCCAAAATAATCCAGGGTGATTGATCACTCTTAATGCTGACTAATGAGCAACACTGCTTCCATTTCAGTCTTAATTCCCTTTATTGTGGGACACTGGAGGTGGACAGAGGGACACTGGCAAGGCATCAAGCTTGTCACTCTGCCTACCACAGGAAGGAGACCAGATGGAGGACCGGAAGTGGTCATCCAGGCCACTGCATGTAGAGATGAGCAGTTCTCTACAGTAACAGTCCCAGGATTGGAGGAGGAGGCTGAGAGGCAGGATGTCACATGGTACAGGTCAGGAACAACTGATGATATGAATCAAGAAAAGGTGGCCAGGTGTGGTCGTAGACACCTGTAATCCCAGCTGGGCAGGAAGGCTGAAGCAAAAGGGTCACAAATTCCAAACCAGCTTCTGAGCTACTTAGTGAGTTTAATGTCAGCCTGGGCTACACAGCTGGAAAATTTATTAAGTTATTTCAGAAAGGCTATTACCAAATTTTAGGGTTTTTTTTTTTTTCAGAAAGGACAACTTCTTACAGTAAGCATGAAATTTTATTTACTTGGAAAATTATATAGGGAGCTTCACTGCTAATGCTAGAATTTAACATAACTGAATGACAATCATTCTTATTTATAGCAATGAGTAGCATTCATTTTTAACCTCACAAAAATTAGTGGAGAGTCTTTTAAAGACAACTGTATCACAGGCTAAAATTTTAGAAATATTTAAGCATTTATTATAAATATTCACATATATTTATTTGCATAGAGCACCATTAGAAAGACTTCAACTTTTCTATGTGCCTGGATGCTAAAAGGTTGAATTCATGAAATTTTAAAGTTATATAAAACATAAAAATCAAATTTGGTAAGGAAATAATCCCAGTCAAAGTGGTTCTTTAAAATGTTTAAATATTAGTTTTAGGTACTGAGGCTAGAGTAGAAGAATTGTCATTTTAGGAAGAAACTCTCTATACCTGCACAGAATTAGTCCTGACAGGCTGCAGACACAATCCACTCCACAAGTCCTGGGGCTGCACAAGTCCTGACAGGCTATAGACCTGACTGGCTTTGGACACAACTCACCTGGAGCCTTGACTTTGGAAGTTACTGGCTGCTCTGAAATAAGCAAGCGAGGGACCAGGACAGAAACTGAAGTCAAGCACAGCAGAAGAAAACAGAACCTCAACAACACAATATCTTCACAAAAGATATTTTTCCTCACAAAGGACATTTTTATACATTGACCCATCCAGATGTGCAGGTCTTCAGAGACCTACAAATGCAACATGTGACCAGGCTGATGACATCCAGCTCACAGACTTCCATCTCGACAGCATGATGGAGACCCTGGTGCGCACGTGAACAGACTTGCGGTCGCATGACATCTCTGCCGCCCTTCCACCTCCACACTGCCACGAAGATGCTGAGTTCACCATTCATTTTCATCCATTTCTGTAGGGAAAGAGCTCTGAATGGAGCCAGATGAAAAGCTGCCATCCTCAGGGACAGGGCTCTGTGCTGGCCAGCTGTTCTCTTGCAGAAGTGGTCTGGGAGAAAACACAAACTGAGTTTCAAACGACTCCAAGGACTCTCCGTCCTCCTTCTCCAGCAGGAACTGATACTCGCCAAATCTGACCATGCACCTATAGGGCAGGTCCATCTTGTTGAGGTAGCCCAGCTCCTGGCTGTCCACAATCAAACTGGTCTTCTTACTCAGGTTTTTAATTTCAAAAGAAAGAATGGAGCTATTGAATTGTTTAAATGGATGCAGAGAAAACTGGACTCTGGAAGCCTGCTTGTCCTGAAAAATATAGTGACAGGTGCTGGAATTGCGCCCAAATTTCACCACTTCACTGGAAGGGAGCTTCTCTCTCTTGGAAAAATTGATTGATTGAAATATTCCCCTCTGTAAATGGCCGGGATGATAAACAGTTATCTGGAGACAAGTGACCGTCTCTTCTGTGTCAGCATCTTCAAAACTGGACATGGTGTGTCCCTGGAGACCAGCCTGCAACAACAGACCACCAGGTCAGCTCACACCCACAGGACAGGCACTGAGAACTTTGCTGCTAATATTCTGATGAAATCCTTTTGGTAGGTAATTTGTTCAGACTTTAAGAAAACAATGCATAGAATACTTTCAATTAACTAGTAAATGTGTGAAATTTTATACCAAGCCCTTTTTGAAACCTTTATTTGGGGTGGGGGAGGCAGTACTAAGGATTGAACCAAGGACCTTTGCTCTGAGCTACATCGCAAACATTTTCAAGATTTTTATCTTGAGATAGGGTCTGGCTAAGTCACTCAGACATGCAGGCTGGCTAAAGGTTGCTGTCCTCAGCTGTCCAGCTCCTCAGAAGGCTAAAGTTACAGATGTGTGCCACCACACACAGATTCTCTTTAATTGAATTTCTACTCTGAGCACATAACCATACACGAGATTTGGAAAATAACAAGGAATGACAATGGACAATAGTGATGAAAAGGAAGGAAAAAGAAATGACAGACCAGCGTAGACCCAGAGAAAATATGACTGTCACGCTTTCAGAAGAAAACATACAATAAAGATTGCTCGCAAGTGCTGAGTCCTGAGATCAGTCTCCAGTACCACAAAAAAAAAAAAAAAAAAAAAAAAAAAAAAAAAAAAAGGAATCTGCTTGGCTGAACTACATATAAGGAAAAATCTACAGTAACCATATTATAATGACATTATTAGAAATTGCAAAAATCTGGTTAAATAAATTTAGAAGTTATAAACAAGTAATGGTAGCATGGATCCTTGTATCTTTAATTTTTAGACTGTAAATGATTGAAACTAGTCAGTGCTTTTAAGTGGTTATCATAGTCTATAACTTTCAATTTTAGACATTACATTCTTTGAGAACATACTTTCAAATTTGTAAATATCAAGTCTTCACACCTGGTACTTCAGTTACTTGTTTTTGCCAATTTTTTCTAGTGACTGGGTGGCCAAACGGTCATGAACCACAGCAGTGCCATCCAACTGCAGCTAACCACATCCCTACAGCCCACTCAAATACGTCCCCAACTACATTTGGTGACATCGACCTCTGGTGGAGTAGGCACAGCACTGTCACAGGAGAGGTGACTTCATTCCTAAAATTTCTATGCAGTTATTTTGAAACACAGCTGCCCACTGAAAAATGAATGTAGTTCCAAAATTGCCAGCATCTGAGTCAAACAGAAAAAAGGATTTAAAAACAAGTCTCTTCTCTCAGCCTAGCCCTTTGTCTTCCTCTCCTACTGTAAGTATTGCTTTTAGCCTTACAAAAAGTTTTTTCATACAAGCATTACATACACAAACATACATATTTAACTGCAGAAAGAAAAATTTTCTTACACAAATAGAAACATTCTGTACTTAGTTCTTTAGGCTTTTTCAGCTCTGGGAATCAAACAGGGCCTTGTGCTTGCCAGGCAAGAGGTACTGTGCTGCTGAGCCACATCCCTGCACATTCATGTGGCATTTCTTCCATATCTACACATGGAAGTGCCCTTCATTCCTTAGTAAATGCATAGAAATGCTTTCATCCAGTGCAGTACTAACACCAGACTGGCACATGCTATTACATGCCATTGCTTTCCTTGAATGACTCTAACCAGTACCACTGTAAGATTACGTGTGTTTATACTGACTCGGGGTGCATATTCATAGTCATATGAGGTTGATTTATAGTCTTGGTTTGTCATCCATATTAGATGTTGGTAGTAAAAACTACGATGGTTCATACAGAACAACAATATTTTCATTACCTTTCTACACTTGCTGTTTACTTTTAAATTATGAACTTTCCTTTTATTTTACAAAGCTTTACTGCTAACAATCAACTCTCAATTTATTCAACTATTCAATGAATGGCAAAGCTAAGCAAAATTGTTTTTGTCTTGATTTGGAAATATACTTAAATATTAATTATTACAATTAATAATTTAATTTTTAATTTATAGTCATATATTTCTTGGACAATATGACATATTGGACTTTCTACCTAAATAAGAAACATCTCATTATAGGAATAGTTACAAGAAAAGCGAGCTGAAGCTCTGTAAATCTTGTGCCACACACAGTAACAATATCTATGAAACCAAAACAGCAAGAACCAACATGCAGTGGGTCATCTATCCAATACGCTGATCTGAAGACACCTTAATTATAATGAAATCTCGCTGCTCAAGAGGCAGACAGCATAAAAGAGAATAATCACAAGTCATGGGATGATGCAATTAACAATCGACAAAGAAAGAATTTGCTGCTGGTAGCCTCCACTTTCCTCCTGTTTTCCTATTCATTCTAAAATTTTCCACGGAAAACATATATTACACTTACAAAGAAAAAAATCTAAAACAAAAACATCTGCTGTCAACAAGCAAAGAACCTAAAAAATAAAAACCAGGGATCTGTCAGAGGTCACCAGAGCTGTCCGGGACACACTGCTGTTGTTCTAGCTCAATCCTCAGGTCCAAAATGGAACCAGATGAAAAGCCAGGGTGCGCTGTGGATATGCAACCACTACATTTTGGTTTTGCAGTTTATAGTCTTTTTTTTTCCAATACCGGGAATCAAGCTAGGGACCTTGTGCTTGCAAGGCAGGTGCTTATGCCGCTGAGCTATCTCCCTGGTCCAACAATTTGGTCTTTTAAACAAATCCACCAGCAACAGAAGTTTGCCCTGTTTAGAAATGCCCAGTACCAGGGAGAATCTATTATCCCCATACTGGAGAAAACAGTATTCTGGTTTATAAATCAGGAACTACAAGCATCTCTGTGGGAGTTAATTCTCTGTGTCTGATGAACCAGGGTTTTATTTTATCTTACAATTATGGCTCCTTTCAACAAACACTTAAGTTAATGCTCATGTCACCATGAATGGGGACAAAGTGGAAGTGAGGCACAATGAAAGGGATCAGCAGTTCCCCCCAGCAGCAGCACAGCCTGGATCGAGGAGGGGAAGGTGGAAGATAGACACATAAAGGACCTGTGACATGAAAGAAAATCAAGCCTTCTTCCCTGAGATCTCTAGGATCGTGTGTTACTGCACCCTAAAGTAAAGAGAGCTGACAAGAGTATTGACCTGTCCTATGAAGGTATGGAATGAAAGACATTACCCCTACTTACAATAAGACTTTCATCTGCCAGGCACAACACTAGGTGCTCAGCACAAATGATCCTCTAGAATCTTCAACAGCTCAGTAGTATAAGAACTTGCTTGGCAAGCACAAGGGCCTGAGTTCAATCACCGGTTCAAAAAAAAAATCTTTAAAATAACATATAAGCTACCACTTCATAGATAAAAAGCCAAATCTCAAACGACTGCTTCCATCACAAATGCGGAGTCAAAACCAGGATCCAAACGCTAATGTCACTTCTCTTACTACTACTACAAAGACACTTGTAAGCACCAAGTTTCCATGAATATCACTTGTCCTTGGGTCTGTATGGAAATCCAAGCATAGCCCTGGAGCTAGCTCACTAGTAACTGGCAGGATGTGTGAGGAGCCCAAAGTTCCACAAACCAGGATCTCCGACCTCAAGGCACTCACAAAGTAATCTACTTGTTTCACAACATTCCCAAATTCCACAGTCTCTCAAAAAAAAAAAAAAAACTGGCCTGACTCCCTGGCATTGCTACAGTTAGTAGAGAAAGAAAAAACAAATCAACAAATAGCTAAAGTAATAATGTAAAATGGGTGGGTTTCAAAAACAAGAGTTACTGGTGCTCGTGCATAGGAGTTCAAACACCTTGTGAAAGACATGACTCTCAGAGAGACACAGCAGTAAGAGTGGTTACCTCCAGAGAAAGAACCTGGTCAGGAAGGGGAAGGGGCGTAATTTTTTGCTGCACATTCTATTCCTTTGCAATTGTATACCATATGCATTAAGACCTACACAAACCATTTAACAATTTTTGTTTCTTTACACAAATCACACATCATTGGATCTTTTGGGAACTCAATGGCGATGGAGGGTTAGGAAATATCATTAGATGGCCAACTGACAAATAGTATGTGTATTAAAGGAACTACCATAGATAGATAAATAGATACAGCAAACTCTGCTCAAATCCCTCTCCACTGTCAGAAGAGTAATGCTCGCTGGCACTAAACACCACGAAGTTCGCTTACCCCGGGTCCTGGAGCTAGGAAGCGCAGAGATTCCAGTTCCGGAGACCCTGACTGCGTTGGACTCCTTTCAGGGAAAGAAGACCGGGCGTGAGCGGGCCATCGCAAGCAAAACCCCCGCGCCCTCCGGCCCCAGCGCACCTCCCGCCCCCCAGATCAGCGGAGACACCCTCCCTCGGCACGGTAGGGCCGCCGGCCTTCCGGGTGGGGGTCGGGAATGCAGAGGTGCGCGGAGACCTTTGCTAAGAGCAGCGGGGAAACGGCGGGGTCACCGGGCTTTCGGACTTGTTTCGGAAACAGCCCGCCGCGAGGTTTCTTGCGGGTGGCGGGTCGGGGAAGGGGCACTCCGGGTCATCTCCCCAGCCCGGGCCCGCCGCCAGCTTCCCGGGGGGCCGACGGAAGGCCGCGCGCACCCAGGCCGCCCGGGCCCAGCCACCGCTCCGCGGGGATGCGGGCGCCGAGTCCCTCGCTCGGCTCGGGCTGAGAGTCGCACACCGGGGCGGCGCGGGGACCGGCACGGTATCACCCCGGCCCCCACCTCCGCCCGGTCCCCGCCAGCTGCGCGACCTGCTCTCCTTCCCCGGCAGCGCGGATTCCGCTCCCGGGCCGAGAGCCCGACAGCAGCGATTCCCGGCCAGGCTCCGGCGCCCTCCGCAGGGCAGCCTCGCACGGGACGGGACGCGCGGTGGGGGGCGCCCTCACCTCGGCGGCGAAGGGATTCCTCTCTGGCCCCGAGCAGCCAGCGGCGACTCTGAGAGCCAGAGGCTGAGGGCTCCCAGCCGCGTCCCGCCCCGCCCACGCCCCGCCCACACGCCCGGTCGCGTCCTGCCACGCCCACGCCACCCCACGCCCTGCTCACGCGTGGCTGCGACCGCACCTCGGGCGGGACCGGAGGAACAATGGTCTCTCCCTGGAGGGTGGCCCGGTGGCACAGGGGGGCGAGGCGAGGGGCCCTCAGGGACCTTGCGGGCACAAGCCCGGTCTGGAGAGCCCGGGACACGGCCGGAAGGTGCCCACGAGTGGCGCAGAGTCCCACAGCGGAGCGGTCACCGCAGATGGCAAGGGCCTACCACGCATTCTGCTCCAGCAGCCGGCTTGCCGCTGCTGCTGACCCCCAGGCAAGTCCAACACCCCACACCTGAAGCCGTCTTGGTTAAATCCCATAGTCAGGGGCTCCCTATACAACTGTTAGAAGTGGCCTTGACCCCTCTGGAGACCTCCACAGGCACAGGTCAAGGTGGTGAGAGCCTGAGGGACTAAGTCCAAGGCCAGAAAAAAGGGCTGCCCGCGTGCAACCGAGGGCATCACTAGTGGCATGATTTTTGTTTTAAATGTGAATGTTTAGTGTTTCAAAACTTTATTTCAGTGAAAGACACGTTGCCTCAAATTCTCAAAAACTTCACCTCCTGCGTGTCGCGCCAGCCCTGCCACTCCACCCCCCATCCCCCTGCTCCCTCAGCCCCCCACTCCCCCCCCCGCCCCCGGCAAAGAGCCACTGAATCTGGGCATAGTGGTGCACGCCTGGAATCCCAGCGCCGTGAAGGCTGAAAACAGGAAGATCACTACAACTCTGAGCTGCATAGTGAGACCCTGCACAAAATACAAAAACAAAACAAAACAAAAAACTCCACCTCATTGGGAACATGCGCATCCCATCCTCTTTGCCACTTCTGGCAGCAGCTCCAGAGCCCTCTTTCATGAGTATCTTTAGCAACAATGTCTGTCTGCCTGTGTCTGAATGGATTCAAAGCCTTTCCCTTTTGTGGTCATTTTGATTTGGGGAAGAGCCAGAAGTCATGCAGTGCCAGATCCAGTGAATAAGATGAGTAAGGACACAACTTTTCTTTAAAAGTCACTTAATTTGAAGTTCCTAATATAGAACAAGTATTCTGTTTAGTAATCACATAGATAAAATTGAGAACTGTCTTCCACTGTAACAAGGAGCATCATTTCTCTAGCTCACTTTATAACAAAAGAAACCAGCAACGAAGTGAAGAGACAAAATGGGGAAAAAAACTTACCAGCTATTCTTCAGAAGAAGGACTAACATCTAGAATATAGAAAGAACTCAATCCCCCAGATTTAAAGACCCAGTCCAAAAGTGGGCATCTGAAATGAATCAACATTTCTCAGATGAACAAATAAATAGATGAAAAGAATGTTCAACATTACTGGTTGTTCAAGAATTGCAAAGTAAAACAACACTGAGATTCCATCTCAGTCCAGAAAGAAGGGCTGAATAACAAATGCTGGTGAGGCTATGGGGGGAAAGGAATCTTTTTCCAAAGCTGGTAGGAGTGTAAACTGATACAACCATTATGGAAATCAGTATGGAGATTCTTCAAAACACTAAAACTAGAGACTCTATTTTTACCCAGCTGTTCCCTTTCTAAGTATCTTTCCCAAAGTTAAGCATACCACAGTGATATATGCATACCCATGTTTATACCATGAAGAATTTTTAATAGTTAAATCTTGGAAACATCCCGGAGGTTCATCAAAAGATGAATGGACGGGAGATGGCTCAGTGGAATATGTGCTTCCCTGGCAAGCGCAAGGGCCTGAGTTCAATCCCCGGTTCCGCAAAAAAAAAAAAAAAAAAAAAAATGTACAGATAAAGAAAATGTGATACTAATATACAGTGGAATACTACTCTTCCATAAAGAAGAATAAATTTGAATCCTTTTTAGGTAAACAGATGCCCCTCAAGACCATAATATTAAGTGAAATAAATGGGACTCACAAATTTATTTTTTTAATTTAGTTTTATTTTAATCGAAAAGTGAAAACAAGCAAAAACAAATAGAAAATATGACAGGAACAGAGTTACAATACATATGTTACAGATTTTCAAAACAGGGATAGCTAATTAACAATGGTGGCTGTATTATCTTTTTTTCATTTTAATGAGAAAAAATAATGAAACAGTTTCAGGACAGGTTAGTATGACAGTTACAATAATTAATACATTGCATATTGTCTTCCTAGTAGTTATTCAGAGGATAAAATAGAGACATGATATCTTGTTCCAATAATGTTAGTACAAACCTTTCCTCTCAATGAACTAAGAGAAAGTAGTTGTATATCTATCCTAACTATCTTGTATATAGATATATATTTTTTTCATACACAGACAAAAAAAAGCCCTTCATTTATGTCCCCCTTTCTTGTTTTGTTTGGTCAGAGATGGGTGTTACATTGCTGTTAGAGAAGCTGTATTTGGAGAAGTTTTTAAAGGACTTTTTTGAACAATTATGGCGCAGGAAGAAGATGTTAGAGATTACAATTTAACTGAGGAGCAAAAAGCAATCAAGGCCAAGTATCCTCCAGTTATTTGGAAGTACGAATATTTGGAACACACTGCAGATGTCCAGTGAGTACAGCTGGACCTTATTCCTTTGAAGCTGCCGTTAAATAGGAAGGCTGCATGCGTGGGGGAGGACTCTGGAGGAAGCGTCCGAGCAGTGTGCCACGGCCCTGTGTGCTTGCATGACCGACACCGGGACTGCGGAGCCCTCCAGAAGGTGGAAGGCGAAGCCCACGGAGATGAGCTGCTGTCTCTTCTGTTTCACTTTTTGGATGAATGGCTTTATAAGTTCGGTGGTGATGAATTCTTCATACCCCAGGGAACAGAAGTTAAAGCAATAACATACTCGGCAATGCAGGTCTATAGTGAAGAGAAACCAGAAGTTTTTGTGATCATTGACATTTAAGAAACAAACAAACAAAGAAATGAAAGAGAGAGAGAGAGAGAGAGAGAGAGAGAGAGAGAGAGAGAGAGAAAGAGAAAGAAGACTTCTATGAAGAGCTGTTTTGTTTTATCTTGAGAAGATATAATTATTTTTTCTGGTATCTTTTGACAAATAGAAATTTACAGAATAGAAAATTTTAACTTAAAGTGTGGCTTTCAGAAGTAGAAAAAAAAAGCTGGGTATGTTGGTATATGCCTGTAACCCCAGCTACTCTGAGGGCTGAGGAAAGAGGGTCAAAAGTTTGAGGCAGCCTTGGCATCTTTGTGAGACCTCATCTCAAAATAAAAAAATCAGAAGAACACTGGGAGGGCCGGACATGGTGGTGCACCCTGTAATCCCAGCCCTTGGGAGACTGAGGAAGAAGCAGCCTGTGAATTTGAGTCTGGCCTGACTGCCTAGCAAGACTGTCTCAACATAAATAAAATAGCCTCTGTGATACAGCATCCCTGGGCCCCAGCCATTGTATGGGAGAAGAAAAAAGATAAATGGAAAATCGGGGAATTAAAAAAATAAATAAATAAAGGACTTTTTCATACTTGATGCCAGACCAAAGAGTATAGATGTTTGAATTCAGCAAAATAACTCAATATAGCCCAATAGTTCATAATAGTAGTGGGTTATCAGCACAACTGGCCATTGTCCAAAGTTGTTGACTTAAGCCATTTACAGCTCAGCATATTAATATAGCTTTACTTTTATGCCTCATGGTTATACTTTTCTGCTGGATGGTTAAGACCAAGTTAAAGCAAGATCTGTATAACCCAAAATATAACTTTTGCTATCTGACAAGGTCAGTCAAATCCCCTCAGGATTTACCCTAGAACCATGTAGAGCACCTTGTATGGACTCACAACTTTAAATAATGTATTTTTCCTCTTTTGTAAGAAAACCAAAGGGTAAATAAGGAACTTAATAGGCAACTTGTTCAAATGGGAAAGGGAACTAAGAGGGTAGAAGGAGGGAAGGAAGAAAATGGAAAAAAATAGAAGGGAAAAAATGAAAACAATCTGTTATAAATGGGGAAGGGGAAGAAGGCTTGACAAGGGAGGGGACTGGCAGAAAAAGCAGATGAAATAATTATGTATGGCAAATATGTAGTAATTTTTTAAAATAAAAAAATAGCAGAAGAACTAAATATCACTTGTAGAATTGATTTCAGATTTTACTTTTAAAATTCAGACAACGGGCCGTGTAGATAGCTCAGTAGAATAAGCACTTGCCTGGCAAGTGCAGGGTCCTGAGTTCAATCCCTAGTACCACAAAAAAAAAAAAAATCTTTGTGGGGCTGGGGAGATGGCTCAGTAGAATAAGCACTTGCCTGGCAACTGCAAGGGCCTGAGTTCAATACCCCATTCCACCAAAAAAAAAAAAAAAGAAAATTCAGACAATGGCTTGTAAATCTAACCTGAGAAGCACTTAGGAGTATGCAACTTTTATAAGCATCAAAAATTCACATTCAGGTACTATTATAGTAATGAAGTCCATTTTATCCGTGCTTACAATTTGTGTTTCTGGTTTGTTAAAACTTAAATTTACTGTGTTAAGAGGCTACAATCCAGGTTTAATTTTCTATTTATATATCTCAGTACTGTAATACTTTATGTGAAGATAATATTTGGAATGCAAAAGTGACCATCATCTCCAGGATAGAAATGACAAGTTAGGCCAGTTCCTTGAGCATAAATCCCTTTGTGTCCATGGCAGCAGCCCACCTTCAACTCTTGGTGCGACCGATAGAATATCTCTCCAACATTAAATAATGTTAAATATGTAATCTTCTGTTCCCCAGTAAGAGAAAGTGGACATTTTATATGTGAAGTGTTATGGTCAGTTTATTAAGTTCAAAGATGAAAGTTATCAGAAGAATATTCTCCTGAAATTTTTTTTTCTTACAAAAAAAAGAAAGGAAAATGAAACCTTTTCAGCATAGCCGCAGATGCTGTGGCTGTTGAGCCTCTGGACAGGAAGACATCCACCACTCTGTGGAGTCACTCCCTGCACCCACAGGATTGGAATTTGGATCATCTTCAACGGA